CCTCCCCTTCTTCTCCTCCCTCCTCCATTACCTCCCCCTTTCCCCAATACTCAAAACACACAATCATGTCTACCTCCTCTCTTCCCCCCATCCTCCTCCTCCTCCTCCTCCTTCTCGCCACCACCTCCATCCTCTCAACCACAGCCACCTTCCCCATCCACCATCCCACCACCTCCATCACCTCCCCCAGTACCGAAAACTTCACCTGTTCCGAAAACTATTGCTTCCACGACTCGAACGATGCCGATGAAACCGACCGCCGCCAGCTCCTCTCCACGCGCCGCCGGTTCCTTAGTTATGCCATGTTGAAGAGAAACCAAGTTCCGTGCCGGCGAAGGGGAGTCTCTTACTACAACTGCTACCGCCATGGGAGAGCCAACCCTTATCGCCGCGGATGTAGTTTTATCACCAGGTGTGCCAGAGATCTCCATTGAGTTCATGGGGCATATCTATAGGAGAAAATGAAGATGAAGAGCTTATGAACAGAGAAAGAGAGATGGTAGAAGTGAAGATTGGATTCATGGATTTGATTCTTCTGTAAGGTGATGCACGTATTGAGGATATTTTTATAATTATTTTGTTTTGAGGGTGCTGTGGACATGTGGAATGTTTTATTTTTATTGTGGTATTTTCTTATTTCTATAAATTTAAAGCTTTGGCGTTTTATGTTATATTATTATATGGCAATTAAATTGAACCTTTTTTTTTTTTTTTTTGAAATATTGTTGTTGTTGTTGCTCTTTTTGTATCAATATAAGATGCAGCATGCAATTAACTTGTTTCATTTATATCATCATGCATAATAAAAGGTATTGAATAAAATTATTATTGTGCTCTTAAAAATGAGAGAAATTTACATACATTCCACATGAGTTTTATGTAATTACACATATTTATATTTATAGCACCTTGTCGTCATCAACCTAGGCATATGTGTGTGTGTTTGTGTGATGCAAGCCTTGGTCTGTTGGTGGCGGGATCAGTGTAAGTCCCCTCAGATCAAGGGTTCGATACCACCGTGGCGTGGGAGCTCTGGAATATTAGACACATGACACATACATCCATCATAGCTGCTTGAGCGCACAGGGAAAACGGTTCTTGGGGCCAGTAGACTCAAATATTATTTCCTTTCTAATATATATATTTAGATATATATTGATCGGAGATAAAGTTATTTTCCTTCAAACATATAAACATTAAAACAAAATAACACTCCCATCTTTCAAGATAGTTGAAAAAGTTTAATATCGATCAACACATGCATTATTGCAAGCGTTAAAAGAGCATGATTTTAGAAAGAGGGATTGACATGCAAAGCACTCAAAATTAGGTATATTGCATGTCTCACACCCAAACTCTAACATTTACAATGTCTGCTGCCCAGTTAAAATCTCGTCGGATACAACGCCCATCTCCCTACCACATCGATCAAGCTCGCCTAAAAGGAAAGCTGGAAGGAAAACAGAAAGGTTTGAAATAGCAGGCAACGATGGCATCACATCAAACAAAACCTCCAAAATCCCATTATTTTTTCTCCTCTCTCCTCAATCTTGCCTGAAACCATTGACAAAAATAACCCTCATTTTTCTCCCACATACATCTGTAAATCCTACAAGTTCTTAAATCACTAATTTTCTCCATTCTGCCTTACGGGATTCAGGAAGGCTGCAGCTCGCATAGGCAGCTGGTGGTAGAAAGTGGGAGAAAAATGTAAGTTGCCTTTCATAATAGTTTTAAGTAGGAGCTGTGCAAAAGGAGGAGAAAGATGAGAGTTTCAAAGGTTTTGTTCGCCACGATCAACTCATTGCATCCCCTTCTATTTCAAACTCTGGCAGGTCGCCATGAGGCAACTTCGCCGACGTTTCTCGTGGCGAACCTATGGCTCCCCACCCTCCTATTTCAAAATTTTGCCAGCTTTGCTCGAGCAAAAGTTCTTAAGCTAGGGCTTAGGAAGTGCTAATTGTATTTTTATTTAACAATTTAAGAATTAAGAAAATAAATATTGAAATTTGGGTGTGCAATATGTAACATGCATAACTTTGATCAGTGCTATCTAAATCTTCCTTTAAGAAATTGGATCACCGGCCAATCCAATCAGTTCAGCCGTACAGTCCAAAATCACTTTCACCTTGAACCAACTAATCATTTTAATATTAATTAATTTTTGAATACTTGATATTGGAGCGATTATTGCGTGTTTTTGGGCGGGGGGCGCGCGCAGAGCTGCGTGCCCCCTCCGATCACAGCCGCACATCGCGGCTGTATGATAGTGGTACCACCGTCATACAACCGCGATGTGCGGCTGTGATCGGAGGGCATGCGCGGCACGCGCCCTCCGCACCTAATAATGAGACTTGATATTGATAGGAAGACTAAGTATCAAAAATTTAAATTTTAGAGCACAATAATTAAAATATTCAAAAAATAAAATATCTTGAATTGAAATAGTATATATTAAATTAATAAAAAGTTATTATTATATTATTATTATATCATCTAAATCAAATTAAATAGTTTTATAAAGCACCCAAAAGATTGCCATGCACAAATCAAGATTCTCTTTAAAACCCCAAGCCATTTTTTTTTTTTTTATACAAATTCTCAAGGTTTGATAGCGGCACGCACAAATACATCGGTTAGCTTGTTCAAAAACATTAACGGAACGATAGGTTCTAGGCAATGTTTCTGGTGATATGTATTTAATTATCCCTAGAACTTTTCCTTTGAGCTCAATATATTATAAAACTTCAAAATCATAACAATATATAGCTAAATAAAGATTAAAAAAACAGTGCTTTGAGCTTAAGGCTATGCATTAAAAACATCGGATGAATTCTTTAGAGATGCAAAATAATAGAATATCAAACTTGTATAAAATCTGCATCTGTGGAAGTCGCCGCTCTCATCTATTAGAAAAACCACCACCTCCGTCTTCTTGTCTTCTGAATCATATCAAAATAAACATAAAGTATGATGAGACCTCCAGTATATATATATAAATTACACTAAACAATAGGAACAGTTAATTTGGAAAGTGAAATCATATATAAAATAAAAACTTAAGTTATGAGATGAACCTTGTTTTCCTGATTGGGAGCTGGCATGGCTATAATCTGTGGAACAACGCCCTTCACGCTTTGAACATATGGCTGCAGCTTTTCATCCAATAGTTCTTGAAACTTTGCATAAAGAATACAAAGAGGCACACAAAACCATCAGCATTACATCACGCTACATATTGTTTGATTGTGTGAATAAAATTTCTGTAAGAAATCTGCGGGTTCAGTTCATAATTGAATGAAAATCGGGAATGAAAAGTTACAGATTTGTGCATATTCCGTGATTATGGACATGAAGGCTTAAATGACAGAAGGGCAATATTTGTGTGGGAAAAAAAAAAAAAGAGCTATGTCAAAATGAATCTGCAAAAAAGCTTTTTAAGGTATTCAAACATTAGTTTTACTAGTATTTTCACTCGAATTCTAAACATCCAACCCTAAATTGTATGCTATGATTTGTGATCAAGATAAATAGAATGGAAAAGCTGGGGCTATACATTTGTATCTTTTGTATATCACAAAAGATAGTTAAAATTAGATCTAATTGACAATTTGGTAGTCATGTTTCAAATATCACTAATTATGCACCTCAAATATTTAGAAAGCTATATTGGATTGCCCAAAAGAGATACTATAAGATATTAATGACAACACATACATCTGCTGAAATAATGTTAATCCTTCAATTACTAAACATAGTTCGCAGGAACAAATTGTCCCGTTCCTCCGCTCCTTGAAAATGTAGCATGCACGCGTGCTGGAGTGAAAAGAACTTTCTAGAATTACATGAAGAATCAACATTCAATATATAACTTTTTGTATCCATATAAAGCCGAGTATATTTTCATAAAATAAATGATTAAAATAAGTGATACTACAGCTTAACTACAAAAATATCTTGAACAATAGAGGAGATAATTAGAAAATAAGGAATTTAGGATCATGATAATAAAGATCAAATATATAAAATGAAATGTTGATCAGTGTTAAATCTATAAGCATCAGCTAATATTGCTCAAAAGGTCAAGCATATGCAATAAAAAAAAATGAGGATATAATTGAAAAATATTACCTCTAGAGTTTTAGCTGTGGTTAGAAATAATAAATTTCTAAAAGTGTTGCCCAATAAAAGACTATCTTGGTGACCCAAGGAAAAATCTTATAATATCACATTTAAATGGGCTACGTTATATGGGTTGAAGTGTTGGACAGTAAAGAAGGCGGTTAAGTGTGAAAGATACCAGAATTTTAAAGTATATGTTAGAGAGAGGGAAGAGTAGACTAATAAATGATCATAATAGGACATGGGGAAATGCATGTTTTGTAAATAAGATATTGTAAAACAGACTCGAGCAATTTTGCCATGTAAGTATGGTACAGCATGCATCAATAAGAAAAGTAAAATTGATGTCGCGGGATTATGAAGGTCAAATAATAGACTGAAGATAATATAGTAAAAAATGTTGTGCAAAAAGATTTGCATGTAACAGATTAACACCATATGAAATACTCCATAGAAATGAATGGAGATTAGGATTCATAAAAGCATTATATTAATGAACAACTACTTGGATATTTTTTTTATTTATGACTCAAAGGTAAACATTACAGTACCTAAGAATTCAACTTCAACTATTTGTCAAAAGAAAAGAACTACAGGGACATTATCCCGCCCCAACTGAGTTTTCAAAATTAGCTTAATGGCAAATCAAAGATGCTACAATCATAAACACGGACTTTTAGGGTTTGTTGATCAGGTGATTGTCCTTAATATAAGACAATTAAAAATATGCAAAAGTATCTACAAAAAATTTCAGAGCAAGCTAATTCAACCAATCATTTCCAGTATAATAAAACTATTAGTTAGATCCAAGATGATCTCCAAAATTATTTCTCCGGACTTACCTATTGAAGCTTTTTTGTTATTCGAGTGTCATGAACAAAACGAGAGAGATCAATTGTTTCATAAAACTTCTATTTTTAATTTGAGGCTACTGATTAAAATTTGATGAATCACTACCCATCTCTTTTTACAGATTTGTGCTTCAAAAATTACTTTGCAAAGTGCAATGTGTTAATACAAACCACATTTTAACAACATGCATGAGAATGTCATTGCCTACGCAACCCAATGAGAAAAGAATAGGTAGCAGGTACAATCCTTCAGTTGTAAGGACTATGGAAATACTATTACCAATTGTGCAAAGAAATTCTGCAATTCTTGTAACAAAACTAGGCACACATGAAAGAATGCCATACACATCACTAGAATCATCAATCAAATGCTAAACAAATAGTTTTGTTAATCAAGTAATTATCTTACAAAAGTTGTGGATAAGTTATCTCTTACTGCCAAAATGGTTCGGCGGATGAATTATTAAAGTCATCATAACCTCAAGGCTACAATATACAATTGTTTTACCTCTTCCAATATAGCTTGTAAATTCTGATGCATCTAATCATATGATTGGCTCATTGCATCTTCTTCACAAGTTTAGACCGTACATGGCTCATCCCATAAAAATGTTATCACTGTTGTTGTTAAAAAATATATATATTAATTATTATAATAGATCTTTTAAAAAAAATTAAGGAAAATCCCTGTCAAATCTTCAGACGCTCTATCCTGTAAAAAAATCCAAAATCATGCATGTAACATTATAGTGCAATGACACCATCTCGTCTTACAAAGATGGAGTTGCAAGGTTTATATGACAGTGAATTTTCAAACAAATTCATATTAAAAACATGGACTAAAGTCTCTTTAGGCAAGTTAGTAAGTTGATAAGATCCAAAGCAACAAAATAAAATCAGTTAAATACCCTGATGATGGCAATGCTAATAAAAAAACTCAAATTAGAGAAAATAAAATTATCAAAATGCTCCCAAATTTTAAGGAAACCCATTTCAGATTTAAACCTATATAAAAAAAGAAAATTTCAAGAAAATTATAAAATTTTACAAATGTAATCTATTAAAACAATCATTAAATAATAGTTCATTCACCCTCCACAACAATTTATCGACGATGACTAAATTAAAATTAACCGAAACACATATAAATTTCTATGGCTAGTCTCAAAAGACTTCAAGCTAATAAGGCCATGACATGTGTCCTCCAACTTCGTGATTTTACTGCTAAATAGCACTATAAAAAGTAATGATTATAATTGGGGCCCTCAAACAAGGTCATTCAATACAAAATGATATCATTAAAATATGATGACCATCGAGTTTCACAATAGCCTAAATCCTCCAATTGGTGAATTATAGAAGTGCACTTGATATAGTACAAAATTTCCTGTTAGCTAACTTCAACTAAAAATTATTCCTTTAGACAAACATTAATCTAGGTCTATAAAATCCATTGAACGATGGAACCCATGACTACTGATATGGATCCTTTGGTCAAATTGTGTCGAGCATTTCTTTTTACTGAGTAAGCCAAAGTCTACGACAACTTAGGATGATAGAATTATAGAATCATGATTGAGCTTTTGTTATCATTTTCCCCTCCATCAACATAAATTAAGGGCAAGAAATTTCTCAATCTTAAACTAAAACTAATGATACCATATGCTAAACACTTGGAATCTGATTCCTATCTTTAATCAAAAGTTTTCTCTCATCACTGAGAATGGTAATTAACAATAAAGGCTTACTCCTATGGAAAACCTGAAACTAGAATTTAAATACTCGTAAAATAAAGACGAAATTTTTGGGGAGTATTTTATTTAAAATCTAATATATCTTCTTAAAAATTTAACCTGAAACATAAACTTTCTCAGAAATACCAGGCATAATTTTTTAAAGCTAAAAGATTAAAGTTATTTTTTTCCATGTAAAATAGAAATAAGATATAACTATCAAGACGAGCAATATGATACAAAAGTGATTGAATTAAGCAATTTGACAGGCAAGTAGTTCAATTTTATAAGTACTGGCAGGATGGGGAAGAAAGAAGAAGGGAAGAATAAAATGGTGTCCATAACTAGAAGAAATAAAAAGAAAAAAAAACACTTAACAAGGATGATCAATAATTTCATCAGACTGTCGTGCCTTAGTTACAAGAAAAATATCACTATTCAAGTTTTTAAAGATTGAAGGACCCGCATTACATATGCTCTAGCTATTTCAATTAAGATGTGTATGTTTCAGTAGGTTGCAATGCTTCATCTAACGTTCCCATTTTGCTATAAAAAAGTCTAGAGTGCAAAAGCCCTTCACATGAATAAAGCCCGAAATTCATGCAAGCCAAAAACGCTACTATGCTATTACGCTGCACACAGAATGACAGAAACAACACCAAAAGAGCTAAAATACAGTGTTGAAAACTATAAATAGCGCATTGCCCTTAATAGTTTAAAAATTAAGTTACCCAGTTCAACCATTTTGATGTATCAATCATAATAAGCGAAAAATGTGCATGATAAAGAATATACGCCTGAAAATGTAACATTAAACTACCCAAAAAGAAACAAAAAAACTGAGAGATCTGTAGCATTTGTGGGTCCCAGAGCTCACCCAAAAAAAAATAATAAAAATAAAAATCAAATATCAAAACGGCATTTATAGAGATGGAAACATTCACAAATGCCATGGAAATAAAAGTCACGAACACAGGAATAGTCTACAGCAAGCTAGAAGTTGAAGTACCTTATTTTGTCGCCATTGAGCTTCCCATTGTGCATCTAATATTTTTTCAGCCATTTCTCTCTGTGCAGTCAGCAGACTCACCATCTCTAATAGTTTATTAGGGTCTTTCAGTTCGTCTTTCGTCCATGAAGCTTCAGTTAGCGGAAGATCCAAATCCTGTAATAGATGCTGTCAGAAACTAAGTAGTCATAAAAATAAAGGAAGTTAATTTGAATAACACCCTATACATAAGTGACCAGGGAGACTATGGACTGCTCGTTTGAACCGTTATACTGAATGAATGAACTTAGAAACTATTTTCAAATAAATAATAAAATACATTTTATTCAAATAAAGAAATATAGTGTTTTTTTCCCATCTTAGTTCACAAATAAGGGCTGCAAGATAAAACATGTCATCTACATAAAGGTTTAAGATGTAGAATGTATTTGAAGAGCTGAAGTAAATGAGAGTAGAATGGTAAATGTTATTTCTTTTCAATAAATTACATTCAAGTCCCTGAGCAATAAAACATGCTTCACATAGGTCCATATTCATAAATTTATTTTACTTAGGTTCTTCAAACTTCTAAAAATTTTGTTAAGTATATCGAATTCAAATTAGATTGTGCGTAAAATCAATAAGTTCTCACCATAAAATATTATCAAGTCACTCTGCATGTGATGTTTGAGAGCAGAGGCAAAATCAGCACTTTTTGAGAAGACAAAATGCCCCCTTAGACCCAACGTGGGGGCTAGGGCAATGAAGAGTAAAGTGATATTTCAGGAGGGACAAAATAGATATTTCAGAAGGGGCAGAAGACCAAAATTCCCTCCCATATAAGTAAGAAAATCTGAATTTGAGGGGGGCAATCCCCTCGAACTCTACCTAGGTCTGCCCTGTTTGAGATTGTTGCACAATGAAAGGATGACAAATATAAACGTTAAATAATTGTTAAAAAAGCAAACCACAAGCACAAATCAAGAAATACCAAGATTTAGATGAAAAATCCAAGATGGAAAGACGTGAGTATAAAAAAAAAATTCACTACATTCAAAAAAAAAGAAGTTAAGCGTAGAGATGGTTTAGAATTTGGCGGCTCGCATATAAAACACTAAGTATATGTATGGCTCGCATATAAAACACTAAGTATATGCATACATATTGTTGGCTCCAAAAATTCACGCCATAGCCTACCTCAAAGTGATGAATGAGAGAGTTTTAAGTGAGGTTTTGAATCAAATTTTTATAATGCAGATGAAACAGAGATATAACACTACCGAGAGATTTTGCCCACTTTGGGAGAACGTTTTAATCTAGGGTTCAAGGTTTCCCATAGGCACAAGTTCTAACGGTTAATTATTCCTCAATAACATAAGAGTATTCTCTATTAAGGCAAGTCATAAGGTGTTAAGTATGCAGGCTTCCCATATAATAGCAATAAACATAAATTTTAGATTATGAAATTTATCGTAGTAAACTTATAATGGATGGTAGGGGGAATAATTACGAACCTAATCAAAATCTCATAGTTTTGTTATCAGGGTTGTCATAGTCCATGATCTACTTAGTAGAGGAGATAATCAATTCAATCTCGCCGAATGATCCTTGTCAACAATCATGAGTTGTTTCGTCCAACGAAACATAATAGATACGGGATAGAGGTTTGTTTAAAGGGAAAAATTCAAGTAGAACTTAGTTAACAAAAGTTCTTATGCCCTCTTAGACATATCATATGATTCATAACCCAAAATGTACAGATTCATTGGGGAACATACAAGCTATAATTGTAATTGCAATATAGTGGAATTTGTTTGGTCAAATCATCCACTCAGATGACTCTGCTCGTAACAGTAATATTATAGAGTTGATTGGTCTCAGGCTACATCCTTATTGATGTAGGTTGATTTGAAAGTAAATATAGTGATATAATTGATATAACATTGGTTGCTTATAAGTTGAAACTCTTACAGAGAGTTGATGGAATGTAACTTTTCCCATTGAAATTCACTTTCAACATAGCCATTATCAAGGAGTTCACTTGAAACTTTTTATACTCAAAATTAGGAGCTCTGATTTTGTAAACTCTAAGTTAACTTTCTTGAATTTATACTCGATCATCTAGTCAGCTCTCTAGGTCAGTATACGAAGTCCTCTCAATCAGCTCTCTTGGCCGATGTACCCGATTCTCCTAATAGGTACTCTCATGTAGTACATTTGGTCCTCTCAGAATTAGGGCTGTCAAAATGGCTCGTTGTTCGTGATCAACTCGTTAAATAGCTAGTGTTCGACTTATTCGCTAAGCAAATGAGTCGAAAACGAACAATTATTTTGCGCTCGATATATAAACAAACCGAACACAAACAAAATTTTGTTTCTTCGTGTTCGGCTAGTTTTGGCTCGAAATAAATAAATAAGCATATATATATATATATATATTGAGTATTATTTTTAAATAATTTAATTGACTTCAACGCTACAAAGATTTATAATTAACTAAAATTACTAATTAAAAATAGAATAAAATGATATTAAATTCTATTTAAATGAATATTTTAATATAAATAACGAAATTTAAACCTCGCCCTACCCTTGACATTTTACGTCTCTGTGATTAGGATTGTCAAAATAGCTCATTGCTTGTGAATAGCTCGTGTTCGGCTCGATAAGCAAGCAAGCCAAATACAAACAATTTTTTTGAGCTCAATATATAAACGAGTCGAACACGAACAATGACATTTTTTAACAAACTGAACTAAATTCGCTCAAGCTCGGCTCGTTTACACCCCTAACGGTTGCATGCATGACTAGGGTTGTCGAAATGATTTTTTGTTCGCGAATAGTTCGTGTTTGGATCGCAAAGCAAACAAGTCGAGCACGAGCAAATTTTGTGTTCGAAATATAAATGAGTCAAACACGAACGGTGGTATTTTTTAACGAGCCGAATAGAAGCTGAGCCCAGGCTCACTCGTGTTCGGCTCGTTTACACCCCTACTCAGAATACCTCGATTAACCTTCAAATTGCCTATTTTGGAATAACTCCTTAACTAATCCCTTTGATGGTCTCTATTGGTGTATTCTACTAATAATCTCTATTACTACTAAACATGATTATTGCCCTTGTGCATTTAGACCTCATGAGTATATACATAGGGTTTTCGGCAACTACGTATCGAGCTCATGAATCGTTAAAATTTTGTCTAAATCTTAGCTCTACCACAAAAATCATGGTACATGCCATTGCCAAATATCAAGATAACCACAAAAAAGGCCATGGATCTTTGAGATCATTGCAAAAGAATAACTAAGTTCAATTTGATCCTTTCAAAAAGGATGTTTCTTCTCACGAAAAGCATGGAGGCAACACTTGTAATATATGCAATTGTTCAGTTAAAAAGTCTTTCAAGAGGCCTCTGCCCATTTAAACATCATAAATATGATTGAGTTATCTCCGCTATTACTGACTCATCCATAACATCCTATACTCAAGTCATCCTCAATTTTATGATTCTATACTCTCACATTTGAATAATATAAAGAGTCAAATTTTATCATTCATATTTATGATGTTGTCTATTGGAAAGTTTATTATTGCCCCAAAGAAAAGGACTTGTGATAGAATCATGACAATATAACACCTACATCGAACACAATCATCTTCTTCGTCTATGCGCTAATCTCTCTTTCTCCTCATTAAGTAACCAAGATATGGCACTTTTTGGATGTAAATTAGACATAACAAATATCATGTCTTTAAAAATTGGGATATGAGCAATTCCCTGAGTTATGAATTACAATTGAAAATAAATCTTCATTGTCGTTAATATTGGCCGCTCATTTTTTTTTTCTATAACTTTGAATGGGGACGGCCTCTTTTTTACATTTCATCAACAGAGATTAAAAAAATGCTTCAGCCTTATCATCAGACACGTGGAAGAATCTCATTTCTTCTTGAAAAAGCTAGTTCAATAAACCCAAAAAATGAAATCATTCTGAAAAAAAATGTGTTGGCAGTATTAATCCTTGATATCACAATTTTCACATGATACTCTCATCATGGCGAGAAATCACACTACAAATCATATTAGTTACATTATTCAACCTAAACCTCAACCGCCAAACTCAGGTGACAACTTCAGTTGATGAGTTCCTGATAAATAAAAGTGAATTTGAAGACCAAATCATCTCTCAAGATAGAAAAATGTAGCCTGCATTTATACTTTTGGAATCCACACCACTAATGTGTATCATTTTGAATCATTTTTAATTTTCTCTAAAGCAATTCCTTCTTGCAGAATTTTTTTTCAATTAATTTTTTCAGTTGTGCTGGGTGTTATCAAATTCACCTCATCATTAGAGTCCTCATTAAATGATGGGCATCGCTTGTTCCAACTCCCTCCACTTCAGAAAGATCTTCACCACCAGAGGGATCACCAAAAATATCCACTCCCATAGCCCGTTCCAAATCTAGAACATCATCTAGATGCCCATCATTATTGAACCTACCAATGTCACTATTGAGAAACCATGTTGAGCATGTAAATTCACTTTCGCTCTCAAAATCTAATTTCTTCCTATTCGCTCCCAAGTTGTAATTTCTTCCTATTTAAACAGCTTGAGAAATGATGTTCAATAACATATCCATCATCACTAACATCTCCATCTGAATCTTCAACTCCTTTGCATCCATCTTCATTTAATATAGGAGATGACCTAATAATATCCCACATCAAGTTGGGCTTCTATCATGTTTAATGGCTTCTTCACACTCAACGAAGAGCTTGATATCAAAATCTTCATACATTTTATTATCACTACACATCATGAATGCATCAACGCCAGTGTTCAAAACAACAATGCAATCTAATAAAAAGCACTGCAGTAACATTACTGTTGACGCACTTAGCAGCCAATAAAACGCATCCTGTTTAATATTGAATATATATTTCCTCCACAATTTCTATAGGCTAAACACTATGTTTGTACTGAACACGAAAGGTAAATTATTCATCAGCCATGGCTAGAAGAAAAGAAAAAAAAACACATTGCAGGAGAAAAATAGAGGTCACAAAACAGGGAAAAATGCTCAATACACAAAGAATAACTTGTTCACAAAGGAATCCTCAGAAAACTGACATGCTTGTAAAATGTCCTTATTTATGGTCTTGATTTTGCCTTTTTGTTATGTTATGTTTTTGGAAGGTATTCTAGATAAAATTAAAGGTAACAGTTGTAAGGAGCAAGTCAAGAATCAAAACGAGAAGAAAGGAGCAAAGTGGTGTTCTGGCACCAGAAGCAATCATTGGAGTGCACAAACAAAGAGCTAAGAAACTCGGCGCTGGACATGGAGAGCTGGGGAGCTGCTTTACAGCGCCTAGGCGCCTGAATTGCAAAAGATTTCCCGAGGGCTTGGAAACCCAGCGTTGGACTGCCAAAATAATAGTGCATAAGCGCCGTGACACTAGCGCCTAGGAGCTATAGAAGGACAAATAGTAGCGCTCCAGCCCCACATATGAGCACCCCGACGCTGCATATGAGCCCCCCAACGCCAGTACCCGAATTTTGACAGTTTGTACAGTTCAAACTTTGGTTCGCTATGGAGAAGATATAAATTGGATGAATACAAAAATTTGGAGGCTTTTCCTTATTTTTTCTTCTGCCAAAAATTCTTGAGGGAGGAACAAGAAGGGAGAAGGCCAGAAGTAGATCAACAACAAAAAAAGTGAGGTGTGAGAGAATTTGAGAGACAATTGCGTGTCTTTACATCTGTCCTCAATTGTGAAGAAGAGAGATAAGATCTTTTCTGAAGTTTACTTTGTGGATTGTAATATTTTGCTGTCAATAATTATGTATTTTTCTCTTTCAATCAAATAAGTTTGTTTGTGCGTTCAAGCATAAGTAGTGAGTAATCCTCTTTTTCTCCTTGGAATGGGAAAGTAAGATCGATGGGTGTGAAATTTTTGTTTGGCTTTGAACGAATTTGTTTCTGGTGATGATTAACTTTCCCACCTTCCTTTACATTTCATTTTGGCCATATGATTTGTTCAAATCTATTATGAATTATGAGTCTCGGAAGAGATAATAATGGAATCAACTCAGTTAATCACATTAGCCTATAAGAATAGGAATATAACCTGTAAGGTGATGGAAATATATGGGGAGAATGTTTTGAATGGGTTAGAAGTAGGCTTTATGGAAATAAACCTATTGTCGAACCAAACTTTATTATACTAGCGGAAGGAGGTAAAGAAGAGTATTAATCTCGTTTGTCATCGAGATTTTTTACAAGAAACTTTCATATTCCAAAGTCTTATTTGATCCATTTCATGGGAGAACTTTTATGTACTTGAACCCTTCAACTTCTCCATTGTGCTAGAATTGCTTCTATAGAATTTACGTCAAATCAACATTTCAGGCTATGATTGACATCTGTGGGTTAGAGTTTTTCTTAATTAAATTCATCTCATTCCCTGCTGGATCAACAACCAAACTCCAATCCTGTTATTACTGATACCCCACGTACACTTGCATGAGTCGCCCGTACTTTGAAGTATCTAGTGCGTGTCAAAAACCTAAGAAAAGCTATATAGAAACCCTATGAACAATTACAAGAGAAAAAATATTTACAAGAAAAATAAGAAATCAAAAAGCAAATGCTATATAGATCAACGAGAAGCAAGGCACTATGTGAACAATGACAAAGTGACAACTGTAACAAAAGGAAATCAGCACATCTTGCACGGATGCTTGCTTTCGATTGATCAATCTGAGAACTATAAAACGCATAAAATAAGGAACCAATTGGGATCAACTTTGGTTTTTTATCTTCTATTTTTTATTATTTTATTTTGTTTATATTTTAATTTGAAATAAAATATTTTTGGCTATATGATAAAGTAGAGTTTTTTTTAAATACTCACAAAACACCTAAAAATTACTTTCAATATTTTCGTAAATATATTAATTTGTTTCTAGGATAAAAAATAACCCTAAATAAATATGTTAAAAAAAAAAAAAAACTGATCTCAAACAAACTCTAAATAAAAAGGATAAGATAGATCCCGCCATTGGATGAGAAAAGTGAAAACAATAAACTAAAGAAAACGGATAATGCATTGGAGCCGTATATAATTGAAGCAAACATATAACAAAAGGATGCCAAAGTTTTGGTATACATTCATGGGTAATTAAAGTTAGATTATTCCAATGATGGGGTGGTTAATGAAGTGGCATAAAAATCAGGTCAGCAAACTAAATGAAATAAGGATTAAAGCAGAGATCAAGACAATGCATGTTCATAACTCAAAGATGTAAGTGTCATTTACCTTTCCTTTTATATGATTTCTTATGTACTGCAGTAACATGACAAAGATAATCATTATTTCAATGCAATAGTTAAACTATCCATTCCAAGAAACTAGAACTAAGTTAAAAGAAAAAAAGCAACGATTTCTTGAGATTGAAGCCAAGGAAATGAAACAAAATCCCAATAGTTTATGGGTTGATTATAAATCTATAGCCATTGATTTAAACTTCTTATCATTTTTTTCTTATTTTTAAATTTACTTTCACTCAAATTCCTAGCATCCATACATGGCCAAAATGAAATGCTAAAAGAAAACCAATTTACCTCGTTTTCATGTATACTGTTAAATAATATTAAACAAAATAAGTACTAAGAAATTATTCAAAATCATAAATCTTACACCCCAATTGCTGGGTCGAGGTGGGGCGTCAAGTTTCAAGACCTCCGCCTCAAGTGCTTTTTTTGCCTTGTAATATGGAATATTTTTCACTATAATTGGATCATCCCTTGCACGAACTGGATCTAAAGAAATGAGAGCCTGTTAGATTAGGAGCAGAACTTCAGTTAGAGAAATCACAAATTGAACTGTGCCTCCATATTTGGAAAAATAACACACAAAACTACAGCTGTGGCAGAAGTAAAATGGGTTAACTTAGAACCTAATATCATCGTATATGTGATATTAAATTAATAGTTTCCTTTAGGATAGCTTGGGATATAGGGTTTCCTAACACTACTCTAAAAGAAGATGCATAAAATCTTTGAATACATTAAAATTCACAATACACAAATGTTTGCTATAGGAAAAAATGAATCTTTTTTATAAAAACCATAAAATGCCCTAAATTCACACAAGCATAAATCTAATAACCATACAACTAAAAACTTAAGATAAATTTTAGATCATAAGAAATATATCAATGGCTCAATCAAAATTCACATGCTGCAATTAGAAAATTCAAATTGTAGTAGATTTGACCAAAATCAATAACACAAACATATAACAAAATAAGTAGACAAAATAGTAGCAAGACCAGAAATAATCAAAAAGAGATTTAGGTCTCAAGCAGATAGAAGAAGATAATATTTCTTGAAATTTTACAATAAATATTGACACAAAACTTGAGGAACTTACATCTAACAAATACACAAATTTGAGAAAAGAAGAAATTTCATCAAAAAAATCAGTTAATTTACATGTCTTGGTAATCACATATATAGATCAAATTTCCCCATTATACGATAAAAAATGTGAAATCTCGCAAAAGCTAAAATTTCTAATCCAAAAACAATTGCTAATATCCTACAAATCCTAAATGCTACAATATCAGAAAAGATTAAATCCCAAAATTTCACCCCAACTATTCATGTGTTGTCAATTTAATCCTAGAATAGCACATTTCTCCAATTTAGACCCTCAACTTTGCATAATTAATCCAAAATAGTCCCTCCTATAGAAATTGAAATAAAAATTTGATCTCAGTTTAGCCCGTCGACTATATAAAATTGATCATAATTTAGTCTATGAAGGATCATTTTGGATCAATTTTGCTTAGTCGGCAGAATAAATTGAAGAAAAATGATACTATACGACTAAATTGGCCACATAAGAATAATCAGAGGACTATTTTAGAGTTCTACCAAAATCAGAAACCGCGTATCAAAGCTGAGAAGCCAAAAGCTACAATTTGCTACAGTACCAAAACAGCATTCTTGAAAATTATCAAATCACTAGAGTTGTAAATTCAAATTACAAAGAATAAAAAGTTACATTGATGCCTAAGGGCGATTGTCTTTATTAGCCTAAGGGCAATTTAGTCTTATACTATTATTAATGATGGGGATAAATATAGCTGATATGCTTTGGGTTCGGGATGCATGATATTGTGGTGAGTCTTAGGTTTAGGGTTTGGGAGAGATTTACCTCTTAAATTTTAGTATTAGAGAAAGATCGTCTACCTCTCAAATTGTAGGTGCTTATCTTATGTATTCATGTTGAATTTGATGTTTGAGAAACAAAAATATTATTTGCTTGAATTTCTGTGAGAAATTAGGCATGAATCGTATCGCAAAATAGCCCAATTAAGCCCATAACATCAATGTGCCAAATTCATATTTTACAGTCAACTGGAGAACCAGATAACAATGAAAAGGTACAAACAGCCAGCCAAGTACAGAATAAATTAAATCAACTGATGAACCACACCAATTCAGCACAAGAAATGGAAGAAACAGCAGGGGAGAATGGTTAGAAAATTAAAGAACATAATCCATTCACACACAGAATATCGTAGGCATGTTTAAACCCTAACGTACAACTAAATTCTAAAAATCAAATAACTACTAACAAAACATCAACTATAGTGACATCAAAACTCTGAATGTCAATTTACTTAAAGATGGGAAGAAGATGCTAAACATCAATTTAGCTTAGGGATAAATTCAGGCTTTATGGGGTTATCATTCAGCTACTGTGCTCGGGAAACTCCTCAATCGGTGCTCAAAATTTTTTTAATTTACATTTTGTAGAGAACTAGTTAACATGATTGGAATTAAGCCGTGAAAAGTTGTATACCAAGAAATCTTGTCTAGCAAAAACATAAGGGATAAATGCTTCAGCCCAATACACCTTTTAAGCACAAACAAGAGGTATAAACCGAACACAAGGGACTCCCTCCAATGCGGTATGTGGGGTTGTACGCAGACATATCATAGTATCAAAAACAATTTTAAAGCCGCTTATATACATATCACACAATTCATATATATTTACATATCAACCTAAAATTTCATTTTTACATGCATACCACTCAAATATTTTATATCACATAAAAAATACCATCACTTGTAACTTTTTAAAAGCAAAATATACGTTTTCATGCATAGATTTATGACACCCAGGTGTTATAAGTATAAATATTTGTAGTATTCAAAAATCTACTGTAGTGGCTAATTCATTTGAGCTTAAACCTACTATTATCCAAATGGTATCAAATAATCAGTTTTGGGGAGTTCGAAACGTAAATAAAAAAGAATTGTGTGGCATGTATGTAAATTACCAAAAATTTTAAAAAAAAGAAAATACTTCTAAAATATTGTGGCTGGCCAGCCCCTAATGTATACGTTGAGATAGTCTCTCACTGGTGGTGGAATATGGTTAAATGATGTTTCATTAACACGTCACCATCAATTCATACACCATGTTTCACCTGCGCGTTATCATCCAAACCAAAATACCACAATGCTACTATTGCTTCTTAGTTGATAGAGTAAGTTAGATTGAAAATTAGGTGTTTAATCAAGATGAGGTTTTTATTGCAGGCATGGCTGTCACTCAAAATTTTCAACTTCAACAAATATTTAGAGAAAGAAGTTTAAAAAAAACATGACAAATAAGCTAAAACAACATAATTTGCAATTAAAAAAAAAACTTCAAAATAACATTAAAAGTAATCTAACAAGCTATATTCCCGAAAAATTTTGTTAATTCACAGAAAAACAGCAATTTGCAAAAAAATGCACGCTTAAAGCATATTTTAAATATAAACAGTAGTAATTACAAGGAATGCCAGGATACTGTTGCCCCCAATTGATACTCACATTTTGCAGATGCTCCCAACCAGGTTTCCGATTAGCAACTGCATCCCGAAGTTGATCATACCGCACGGATTCCTAAGTACATAACAAACCATAACAAGAAACAAATCGAAAAGGAAACATTAAAATAGGCATGTCGTCTATGAACCAAAAATAGGAGAATAAAGGTACTGTATAGATGCTCCAACAGGAAGAATTAGTCTGTGAAAGTCATTGTCCGCAGATTTTTTTCTTATTTGAGTAATGCTTACAAAATATAATTCAGAGCAAAGATTTCCAAATTTTCAAGTACCAATATTAGCCAGCTGAATTTGCATTGATTATTTGATAATTATAATAAACAGAACTTCCTCCTATTTGTTAAAAAATCTCACTGATATGTCTAATAAAATATAACAGAATTTTATTGAACCGTTATATGCATTGCAGGATCCTGTGAAGTGGACTTGAAATATCCCAATTCTTCTACACATAGGTTGAACGCAATGATGCATGTATAGACAGCATTGTGCTTCATGAACTACTACGAAAGAGAAATTGGGAGATGAATTTGGAAAACCTGATTGAAGTTACGTAACCGGAAGAAATGGTTGAACATCTTAAACAGAGAGGAATGAGCATGAAATTTGTAATAAGCACCCAATTCTTAACAATATCACTGAGGAATAGAGAATAGAAAATGAATAAATAAAGGCCAACCTTGTATGCCCACCAAATCTTTTGTTTGATTTCATCATCATAGGTGCACCCACCAATAACTTGAGGCAAGGTAAACAACCAAAAAGCAGCAATCTTTGGGTCCTTCATGCTATGAACAATATGCTGTTACAAGAAGGAAAAACATCTCTTATCAAAAATGTTAAAAATGCAAGAGTTCGAAGGTAAAGCAAAAAGTGTTCTAAAATGAAATTCAAACTGCCATAAAAAATTTTTGAGTGAAGAAAACCCCTTCAATTTCAAGGTTCCATAATAAAGGCAATTCCTAAAGAAGTTTTTTTTTTAATACGGTTGTGAAAATTGGACCAAACATTGAACTAGAATAAGAGGTTCAAGATTTAACGGTTGAACCGGATGATATAATAAACATTAAAATTATTTTAATGTAATTTAAATGACTTGATAATCACAACTTCAATATAAAATATAATCTAATTTATGGCACTTCACTCTCGAATATACTGAATATAATTCTAAATAAAAATTCTGAGATAAGCTTTTTTAATATTTTTTTCTATATTTAGTTTAAATCTTTTATTTTTAATCATCCAATCAAAATCAAAAAGCCAAAAATTCATAAAAATGAGCATCACTCGGTTCAACAAAAGCAGGCCTGGTTCACCTGTTTTGAGCGTAAGTGATTTTGAACCTAGACCAAATTGACCAGCTGACTAGTTCAAAGTTGAAGAAGTCAGACCGGCTGGTCCGTTAGTGTTTTAAAAACAAAAGTAAAAGCGAATGCCAGGTTTTGTTAACAATTTTGTCAAATTAGGCTCCATGATGTGAACTGAGTTGCCATGCAAAACGAGTGCTAGCCTAAATCTGTATTGTTGAAGCACAAAGTCACGCCAACTTTCCAAAAATGGCATAAAATGGCATAAAAAGGAAAATACCATGTCACTGGTACAATAATGAAGCTACATTCAACCAAGCAATTTCCAATGGCTGTATCCACAAACAAATCCTGCTGGCTTCAATAAACGTTGTAGGAATAAAGAAACATTTAGTGAAAGTAGAACTTGCCTCATAGGGATAGTCCATCTTTCTCATGACATTGTAAGCTTTCCATGGTGGTTCCATAATCTAAAAATACCAACAAAAAGTAAACTTAAGAATTGCAATTTGAAAAAAAACTCGGATATAAAGATTTAATGTATTATAATTACAAAAGTTAGGGGAAGCCATGTGAGGTCCATAAAAAATAGGATTATTCATTAGTCTCTCTCTCTCTATTTATCTATATATCTACATGCAAAGACCGCTCGTTATAGAAGTACCATCAAATCAGTTATTGACATTTTAATGTTTTCAATAAGTATTAATATTGTCACTTCTTAACATGTCATAGTTTAAGATAAATGATGTTGTATGACAACTAGCTATAATTCAGTAACCAATTATCTATTTGAAGATTAGTTAGTGATGAAATAAATAACGAGTTATCATTATTATAACTGATAATTTATGGTTAACAGTGTATTATAACTAGTTATTGCTATATAAATTTGATTATTGCCTTTTTAACTAATTATCACATTATGTTAAAGAGATATTATTGCATGAAACATGGCTATTAGTATAGGAAAGCTGATTGCAGCATACAACTACTGGCAAATAGGCAGGGTGAAGTTTGTTCCCAACCTTAAAAAGAGTAGCAAGGAGTTCTACCCTTTCTCAAAAATCTTCACATTGAAGCATATCACATAATTTGCACAAATATATTTGACAATGTTGAATAGTGCACAATAATGCAAATGTCCCCGTGGAGCCATAGCGCATGGGGAATGGTGTGACAATGGCTATTTTAATTATAATGTAAAAGTATTAAAAATAATGGATAAAAATTTAGCTAAATATTACAGGCTACTAGATTGAAAGATAAAAAATTATAATAATTAAAACAACCACAATTATACTTAGGTATTAGTGCTCAAAATCTCAACCCCTTGACGAAATTGATAACAAAACAAGAAAAAGTTTAGTAAAATTTTTGGAAGCCACGCCTCAAAATTTTTAGAAATTTTAGTAAGCACATGTTTAGCATTAAATAGTATTACTACTACTGTAATCATTTAAAACTTCTATTGTTTTAACACCTCAAAGTCATTAGAAAATTTGATGACAAATGGTTCATGTAGTGCTTAATCCTAATTTAGATAAAATAATAAAAATTTTCTTGGCCATTATTTTAAGAACAAAGAGAAGAGAGAAAAATAAACTCATATGTTTTTTCAAGTAAATTAGTGAAATCATTCAATCAAACCACACTAATAGCACCAAAGAGAGAAGCTAAAATTAATATAAATTAAAAAAATTATGGTTGCTTCCATAAATCTCCAAAGCATCAAAGCCCTTACCGAATGGTTCAAGGTGTCGAAGCGAAGTAATAATAAGATCTTAAACCCTAAATGCATTTTGGCGCTATTTGAGACACGAGATCAACGAGCTAAGTATCAATGCAAGAGCACAAAAGTTATTGTGCGAGATTGACGAGATGAAGAGTCGAGAATGAGAGAGGGAGGCCATGTCGGCCGTTTTAATTTTCTCGTTTTGAAAAAGAAGAGATAATTCTGTAGATATGAAATAGTTTAAAAATAAATATGTGATTTTGATTTTTGAAAGTAATATTTTAATTTTGAAATAGATGAGACAAAACGAGTCTCACATTTTGGATAGTTTGGATGACTGAGCGCGATACCACAAGTAATACACTTATCCCGAAGAATAAACATATCACTTGTAGCAGGCTCGATCACCTAAATTAAAGAATTTGTGACATCTGTTTGGTCTGTAAAATATTTTATATGAGGCCAACAAGTTCCACTACCTAATTTAAAGATTAGATAGGGTTTATTTTACATGAGTTTCAAGTTCTCTATAGAGGCAAACCCCTATAGTTAATTACATCCTAAATGACCAAATTACTTAAGAAAACTCTCGATTAAGATCAGTGGTTTTGTCTTTAAGATTTCAAAGTTTAAATTTCCACGATTGAACATGAGAAAATCAAATGGGAGTGGCTCAAACAAGAACAGTTATTTTAAGGAATCCAAAGGAATGAAAAGTAGGAGATATCACAGATCCAGGAAAAATCCCGGTGACCTCCCAACTATCCTATTGTTTGGCCTTATATATTTGAAATGATGTTGTTTAATGTTTAATACTGCAATTTATTTAGAATTTAGGACTTATGTTCGCACAATATCTGATCGTGCAAATAGCCTAAAAAGATAGGAGGATTTACACTGTACCGTACAATAACCTCAGAATCCTAAAGTGTTAGGACTTATAATTGAACATCAAGATTATGCAAAAGCCTAAAAGTGATACGTGAGGGTTTACGCTGAGATAGTCAAACCACCTCGAAATTCTATGGGTTGAAATTCTATGAGTTGTTTAATCTAAGGAAAGTGATTAGTGATATGAATTTGTTTTGATGTCGCAAATCCATCTTGAAGTGGTTCCTCCGTATGTCCTTGTCATGCTGCCCACGGTGTTTGCTCCAAACTCCCTTTCGTAGCACCTTCGGGTTTGATTTATAGTTTTAAAGGGTACATGCAATCATTTGGTTTTCCTACACTAAAGCATAGTGTGTAACAAAATGATAAAGCATGCAGTATAAAAAGGAAAAAGCAATAGAATGTATAGTAAAAGAAAGAGCAATACAGTGTGCTATAAAAAAAAATGCTACAATGTAAATTAAACCTGTATATTCGGGAGATCTGCTACTCCTTTAAGCGAGCTAGTGTGCACTGTATAAACAAAAGAAACATTGTTTGGAAGACTCGTGAAAATCGACAAATGACCCATGACGGAAAATTCGGTAAAAATCGACAAATGACTCACGACAGAAAACTCGGGAAAATTGACAAACGACAATTCCAAGAAAATTATCAAAATCTCGGGACTATCCCGAAAAAATGACCACGAATGCTTTCTCCAAAAATTACAATAAAACATACGAAAAATCCGAAAAGAGGGGACCATAAGCACTCGAGTTGGGGCTAGGCTCAAATAATATATATTTGTACTCGAGGGACGTCGAAGGCTATTATCAGTCACCCGGATGTATAAAGCCCGCCACTCAACTAGAATGGTGTTCTACTGAACCTAACTTAGGAGGGTACTCATTAGCCCGGTATCGGTAATCAACAAGTGGACAAGCAAGTTATGACAATTTCAAATTTTATATTTTAGCATGCACATGGATTTCAGGCATATAAAAAGAAAATTATATTAATTTTGTACTAAAAACTATATATTGTATCTGTTCTTATCAACTTGTTTTATCAATTTTGAAAAAATAATAGTTGTTCACGAGTCGATCACGTCATCGGGTGTAAGACCGCCAATAACCTAAGAAAGTACGGGTCCCCCGCTAGTCCGGGTCCCCCGCTAGTCTTGGGGTCCCCCGCTAGTCTTGTGTCGGTGAATAATACTTTCATCCTACAGTTCATCAGGTCCCAGAATTGAGTCTTGATGTTGTAGGATAACATATCATTTTGCTCTACCATCGGCATGTTTTTGTCATTATCACCCTAAGCCCCAAAACAAAATTGACATACTTGTGACCTTGCTTGATGATTTCATCTATAGCAAAAGACTACATATGAGTGTTTATGTGTCAGACATAAGGAGTCGGCCAGCTCGGCCCTTGCAATTGGAGAGCCGAAAGGTCGAGCGGCCACGTGAAGAAGGGGAAGAGTCGAGAGGGGGGGAGAGCTCGCCGCGTGGATCAGCCATGGAACCTAGGGCACGCGAGAGGGACGAGCCAAGGAGTGAGAAGAGCAAAGCGACTGATCGAGCCACGGGATGGGTTAAATGTGCGAGTAGAAGGTTTAGGGTTTAAGATAAAAAAAAACTTTAAATAAATAATGATATAAATATAAAAGTATTTAATATTTTAAAAATAAATTTTGATTTATGCATTTTCATTCGTGTGTCACATTGTAAAAAATTAAATGTCATTTTTAGGTAATTTTGACGTTTCGGACGCATTGGCGCGGTCTGTTTCACCGCTGAAGGTCTTTTTGATGAATTCATCGATTTGCGTGCAATTTACTCGTGTGTGAAATTATGACAATATGTGTCTTTCCTAGCTAAAATTTGTGTTCCGGACGCGTTGGCGCGACCTAGTTTATTGTCGGAGGTTGTTCGGAGAAGTTTGCATTTTCACCTATCTTTTAGGCTCAATTTAAGTCTCATCTTGTGCAATTTAGTGAATTTTGAGCATTTTATGTGTGTGTGTGTGGTGATAAAGTCCTGAAGAGGTTTTCTTAAGGCTTGAGGTCTTATTGAGAACTTTTCCTTGAGTCTCCACATGATAGTCCTTTACCACTCGACCATAAGACGTGGTTTGGAGATCATCAATGCGAGACATCACAAGAGAAATAGGAGGTGGCTGAAATTTCTAAAAAGGGTGAGTTTTAGTTCTAGTTTTCTAAGATAGTCAATAGGAACCCCTAGAACTACATCCTAAGGAAAAAAGTAATGACCTCAAAATGAGGTCAACATGCCACAACAAGCTAAATGGTAAAGCATTAAGATCAAGATAGAGAGGAAAGCCTAAAGCTCTCGTGCATATCCAAATTGACTGCATAAATTAAAAATATATATATATATATATATGTACACATTTCAAACCCTAATCAAAATAGCATGTGCCATAAGAGCAATACATCACGTGCCATAAGGCATGGTAGCAAAAATAGAATGCACCATTTTTTCCCAGGCGCCATGCCATGCAAAAAGTGCCATGAGTGCACCAAGTTATGCCATGCATCATAACACACGTGATTATGCACTATTGCCATGTGTGGACACAGAATAACAAGTTATTTATAAATGGCAAGTAGTTGTTATTCAAATTAAAGGAGGATAGCAAAGCATAAAATGGTGGGAGCTTAAGGAAAGGCCATAGTGCAGGTTTGACAACCGTTAAGAATACATGCTAGCAGTGTTATTGCAGTATTGAAGAGTAAAATGGAAATGACAAAACGATAAAGTAGTAAAAGGTGTTAATGACCCCACTACATGTAATCCTCTAGGCATCAATATGGAAAAGCTTTTGGCCTGCCGGGACATTTACTAATGTTGAGTAAATTAAAGGCATCCAATAAAAAAGTGAGATAAGTTATTTAGGTTTTAATTTTTCTAATACAATTAGGAAAGCGTAATGAATGTAGAACACAAAAGAAATAAAGATTTGCAGATTCAATATCCAAATATGCAAAAAAAAAAAACTCTTTAGGGCAAGAACATGTAAGAATTGGAACTTAAATGATAAAAAAATGATTGAATAAATCTTAAAAAATCAACATTAAATTAAGATGATATAAAATCAAAGAGCAATTATAATTTGATTATACAATTAGAATCTTATTTGAATCAAATTTGAACAAAATCAGAAATCTTAGCATACCAATAATAAGATTTGTAGAAGAAACCATGTCAAAGACAAAATTCACTGAAGGAAAACTAGACTTCAAACTAGCACAAGAAGAAAACCTCCCCAGGATTGAGTACTTAACATTTGTATTCCACTCCGAAGAAAATCACACAAACAACTTGCAAACACAAAATTGAAACTAGAATAAAAAATTTACTGAATCATAATTATTAATTACATGACTTGGACTATCTATTTTTTACTCCTCATCCCTAGATGCGGTTAGCATGAGATCAACCAAATAAAATTCCTAATAAGCTTAAAATTCAACATAATTCTATCCCTGACTCACATTTGTGATGGAAAGAGACACATGTAAACACCCATCATATCATCACATATAACCCACAGAAAAGAGTAATAAGGATAAATAAAAAAAAACAAGCTCTTATAAGGCTCTAATGTAACAAAAGAAATATAACAATGCATGCAAAAACATAGTAGAGAAAAAACACAGCAATACCTGCACAATAAGATTAAAATTCCATCAAGATAGCAAATACCAACACTAACCAAGTGGAACTAAAATTGCATCATCGTCCAATACTAATTAAAGAAATGGATTAGTCCAAAGAACAAACAGCCAAAAATAACTACGTTCATGTGTAATCCACAGAAAAAAAAAAATCTTAATCAACTAAAGACTCCATTAAAGACAGAATCAAGAATGGACTAGAAGAGAAAGTAGCAAGAAAGGTGCATAGGAACAATAGAATAGTGATGGATGGGCTTGAGTGGTGTTTGAGAAGATATTTTTAATATCACTTTCAATTTATAGTAATGTACACGAGTGTTTGAGATTTATCCATTAATTCTCTTATCAAGAAATAAATACACCTGATAAAAACAATTCTTGACGGCATTTCCTATAAATGATATGAGACAGAAAAAAAAAATGTAAAAAAATAGATATCAATTTTTTTTAACAAAATAAGACAAGCTGTTTTAGATTTCAAAATAAAATTTACAAGCTAATTACAATGCTTAATTCATATATGTCACATTCTAAATCTCCTTATGGAGGGTTTATCTAATCAGGGGTTTAAAAGAGAATATTCCTCAAGTAACTTAGCCATCAATAACTCTTGTAAGACTATATATATTTTTAATACTTGGTTAGAATATATTGTACAGCAAAATTTCTTTCCTAATTGGGTGATAAAAATTAGGTGTGAATTTATGGCCCAAACTTTCTAAAGAAAGTGTGAAATACCCACTTCTCAGAAAAAAAATTGTTTACCAAAAAAAATGACAGTTACAAGCTTAGTTTTAAGCTGTTAGCATGCTACTAGAAATACTTTTACCACAAAACACGGAAGAATTTAAATGAAATTTTAGAAAAAGAATAGATCTGTCAATTTCACCACAAAGCTTTAATATCCCATAAATTAAGCGAGTAGAACTCACATCATCTGCAGAAATCCTGAGTGGAAAATGATTCATACAATCTGGGCAACCCATAACACCCTGCAAATTGTGTCAAATTAAATCAAGTCCAAATAATATTACGGTAAGCAAGCAAAGCCATTAAAAGAAATGAATTTGCTCCAAGTAAACAAACAAATTACTCTTTAACAAGAAAAACGAATTGATATTATGAGGCAAATCATAATGTTATAGTCAAGACCAACCTTACATGAATGAATTATTTCATGATTATAAATAAAGAACGAATGGGCAATTAAAATCATATGAAACAACTTGTAGCAATACATTAAACATGTTAAGGTAATAAAAACCCAACAATATAGGCATTTTTTACATAAAAAAAAAAATACTTATTAAACCAAAAAAAAAACTAACATATAAAATAAATAAAATCACATTAATGCAAACAATTTGTTCGTACAGGGAAGAAATGCATTCCATATTTGCATCATTTAAAAATAATAGCAAACAAAACATTAGAGATTTGAAACTGAACAGGAATAAGTAATTATACTGCATTTAATTTACGCGGAACTAAATAGTTCATATGAACATAATATAGTATTTTAACAATGTTTAGTTAATACTCATAAATGAAACCAAGTTGCCCCTGTTGAACATGGTCTAACCATCTTAGAAGATTATACCTGCATATGCTAACATCAGTATTCATTCACTGTTAGTTCAGCAGAAAAACGTCCCATTATATTCCAAAATTAATTTCTGGATTTAAAATTGGCATTACAACAAATATAAATGACAGCTACATATTTTGAGAACACTAACATGTTGTTTCTTTTCCACTCCTATTGTCTGTTGTGATAATCAAAACATCAGTTTTAAGTTAATTAAACAAATTTATATAACGCCACTATATAAGCACTATAAAAATATGATGAATGTAGGAGTTAATTAACTACCAAACAGAATGAAACTGTATCAGACAAAAATACCTGTGAATGCATTTTAAAAATGGAAGATTTAGGCTGTGTTTGGGCAGCTTGTGCTTATCCAGATAAACAGTTTATCGTGAAACGCGGCCCGCGGGGCCTAACCGCATTTTCGGATAAGTTGCCGAAACGTGTTTTTAAACAGCGAGGCGGCGTTTTGAAAATGCCGCCCGCACTTATAAGCTGCCCCAAACAGACCCTTACATACATATCACATAATTCCTATGTTTTTACATATCTAACAACTAAATTTCAATTTTTACATATACGCCTCCTTACCTATGCATGAAAAGATGTATTTCACTTTTAAAAGTAAAATATAGTGGTATTTTGATGTGATATGAATGATTTGGGTCGTATAAAAGTAAAAAAGTTAAGTATAGGTGTCAGACATGTAAATACATAAGAAATGGGGGGTATGAATGTAAATTTCCCTTTAAGAATATAATGAATGTAGGAGTTAATCATCTATCAAACTTCAATAAACAAATCTTTAACTTACCGTTCCAGAACAGCTTGAACAATCCTTAGTAGGTAATGGTGATGAAAAATCAATGGAAGAAGGAAGATGCAACAGCTCAGCTCGGTTCTCTGCAACAGCTTCGGCAATACATTCAGCTGTTGCCCTCTCTCCACTATAACAGAATATATCAAAAAAGTGAGCCAACATTTCAGTATAATAGATGGCTTTAAGAGAGGAAGAATTCTAATAAAATAAAAAGGCACAACAAGGCAGCCTGTCATCCGACCGCTAGTGATATTTGCTAAAAAAGAGTGCAAATATAAGCAAAAAGTGCTCATTTGCAAAAGAAAAATTGTAAAATTGCAATCCTTATTACTATAATTGAAGCATATCTAAGAAAAAGCGTAGATCAGTTTTGCAACTGCACAGAGGATGATTTATCTTCAACAGCACAGATAGTCTACCATAAAGAGACCAGGGTCCATTTCAATTACATCTACATTCATATTTGTGAGAAAAATTGTGAAATATGATTATATTATTATCTACTGACCCTAGAAAAACTCACTCTGCGCAACTACTACATAAAATAAGCCATCACTCCAACGCCAAAACTGTGCCAACAAAATTTAGGTGAATCAGTGGGAAAAATTCGTTGAAAGCTCCATCAATTAAGAACTTTAAACTCATCACTCCAAATTAAAATAAAAAATTACAAAAGATTTACATACATACCACTTAATTCCTATGTATTTACATATCTAACATCCTAACTTCCATTTTTACATATATGCCACCTTACGCATGCAAGAAAAGGTGTATTTTACTTCTTAAAAGTTAAAATAGTGATATTTTTTTATGTGATGTGAACGATTTGGGTGATATAAATGTAAAAAAGTAAATTTGATGGGTTAAATAAGTAAATCATAAGAATTGGGTGGTATGTATGTAAATGCCTCAAAAATTAATTACCTGTCTAATTGAGCAAAAGCAACAAGCTCAAAAGTTTACTGAATAAATTTCTACTTATAGGCATGTAAGAACTAATCACTAAAGTTAGATAACTTCTAATTTCACAACCGAAAAAAGGAGAGGACTAATGTTACCTCTTTAACTTGTAATTCCTCACTTGATAGGGTACTTTTCCTGTACCCTTGCACATTGTACACCGTAAGGCTTGCCAGCCATTGCATGTGTGACAATTCCTATAAGAAATGAGAAAGAAAGAAAGATAATTATGGAAACCATGAAATTACTGTAAAATTTCATTATTGGATGCTCATAACTGTAGAGAAGACGAGTCTTCATTTCATCGCATAACAATGAGTCAATTTGTCATACAAGCAGCTGAAGAAATCATTATAAAAAAACAAACATGGTTCCAATTATTTCAGTGCAAAAAATAGATTGCATAAAACTACAATCAGTGAAGCAAATTTAACAGATAATGTTAAGACACAAAAGAGTATTTGGTTTAGTTCTGCAATGGCTAGTTGAAAAATATGTCCCTCTTTTAAGTGTTTGAACTTTTGCTTGAAGAGAAATGTTGGCCATTGATGTATCATGTAAAATTTTGATCACCTTTTGGCCATACTCCCTAACAGATAACAAATTAAGGGTCCAACATGAAGATAAATTTCTCTTAGCATAAATAGATTATAAATCTTCCATCTTGTAATGGTATGTCATTAGCTTTGGAATTGGGTTGATGCCATACAGAACCATAACATGATTAACAAATTTTGACCATATGAGTAGCATGCATCACAAACTTAAAAACTGTTGAATAATGGGTGATTACAGTGAGAATTTCTAGAACAGTGTGATTTAACTGAGTCAAATACTATATCAAAACAAAAAACGAGTGGAGGAGGGGTGGGATTTTGGATTCGTATGCATACTATGCGCCAACCAGACACCAATTCAGTTGGGAATTACATTTTAATGATAAAATTAGCTCTAATGAGACAGAACATCGAAGTATGGAGAGAAATAATCAACCTCTGGCACAGCACTTTCTTTCCCAACTCCAACGCAATGTCATATGTACCAAGCGTCGCAACCGCCTACAACCAATTCAAAAAACAAACAGTTGCAATCCAAAAGAACCATAACACCATCAAAAATGCCATCGGAACGATAGGGTTTTGGGTGGAAAGGAGCAAAGGAAGGTGAAATGAGGAGACTTACGAAGATAGCGGTGAAGGAGAGGTGGGATGCGAGCTCGGGTATACCGAAGCCTCGGGGAGCAGAACCGGCGATGTCGAAGGCCAGAGTGAAGGGAGAGAGCACGACTTTGATAGGAAGCTCGAGGAGGCCTATCACCTGCTGGCCATAGCGAGCAACGAAGATCTTCGAGTAGACGTCCAGCTTTTGCTGCACAGCCTTCACGAACCGGTCCGTACTGCGCGACATGAATAGCCCTAGCGTCGGAGAAAATCGCCGGGGAGTTACTCCGGCCTCTCTGCCCTTTTAGCAGTGGGGGTATAGCTAGCTATTCGGTTGGCCGCCGGAATGCGCAAGGGGTTAACATGCAGAAGGAGAAATTATCAGGATAAGCGATTGGTGCCGTGGCGTTTTAAAAACACAGCCCATGCGTTTTGAAAATCCTGCTTTTTCGCAGCTCGTCTTCCGCAGCTACAGCTTTTAAATTTTTCAACTGCTAGGAAGTTGGTTGTTTGTTTGGTAGAGCTATGTGAAATCAGTTTTCGGGCAATTATTTATGGAAAAATGATCATTCTGCCGCTCTTCAGTAAAACTGTTTAAAATAAAATATAAAATAACTTTTATATTAAACAAGTTATTTCTTAAGTAATAAATTTATATTAATAAATAATTAAGTAGTTTTAATAATTAAGAAAATTTATATTTATATCAAATAATTAAGAACATAAAAATATAAAAAAAGCATTAAAATCCAGAAATCAACACTAAATGCAATCCCCTCCTCCAAATAATTTGGGAAAATATGACCTTTCGAAGATTAATTGCCATTGAACATATAAATGTTGTTCAGTTACAAGAAGAATTTAATATTATAAGCCTCAAAATGCATACATTTCAACTAATAGAATTATTATTGACGCCAATATGGACGGTAGAAATACAAAAAAATAAAATTTAGGTGTTTACACATCTAATAACAACACACACACACAGCGATTTAGGTGTTTACATACATACCAATCAATTCTTATGTATTACACATCTAATGACTAAACTCCATTTTAATCGAAAAGAATATATCCAACAGGGAAGATGCGACCACCTCAGCACATGACTTGTCCAGACTGTTGTAACCCCACTGCTTGAGAAGAGTAGACCTCTAAAAGACCCGAAGTGATTGCCTTTGATGATGGATTTCACCGTCATGGCTTGCATATAAGGGACTCTTACAAACATTTGACACAATTCTTATGTATTTACATATATAAAACCAAAACATTCTAATTACATGCATAGCCCTTAAATTTTCAACATTAAATCAAAAATACCAGATTTCTTAATCAAGGCTTATATATATGTGACATTTAGATACATATCACACAATTCTTTCTACATATATAACATCAAAACATTAAAATGTATAAGCACACCAATTAAATATTTAACATCAAATAAAATATGCTAGATTCACCATCATGGCTTATATATGTGGGACATTTAGATACAGTACAATTCTTGTGTCATATCTAACACCTAAACACTCGTATTTATGTGCATACCACTTGACTTTTTAACATCAAATCAAAAATCCCTCAATTATTTCCATTTGAAAAGTGAAATACACATCATACATAGATTTATGACACCGTGTTATAGAAGTAAATATCCAATATTGAGTGTTAGAATTACATGCTTACAACTCAGTTCTTATTTATTTACATATCATAACATCAAAACTTTTGTGAAGTTACCACGCTTGATTCCTGACATGAGATAGTTGGTCCATCGCTGCCTACAGCTCTTGCTATTCTATGATCTCATATTCAAGTGCAACACGAGTATGAAATTGCCATAGTTATTTCGGAGATCAACTATAAGTGCATTGGTATAAGAAGGAATCAATTAAAGCTGCATGAAGCTTTAACCAAAACAGCTCCAACATAGAAGGTAGAGCATCTGATGAGCTATCAGCCCAAGGCTAGAAGCAACAAATTAGCAAACTCATGAACACACAAAAGAATGACAGATGAATCTCTCCACACCAAATGAACCAGAAATTACAGACAACCAACATCATCAAATTTAGTGACAGCAAGCCAACTTACTGGTCGAACATAGATTGGATCAGATGATCAGAAATTTTCAACAGCTTAATTCACTCAAGTGCAGTACAGCTAATTAATTTGCAAAGAAAAACGTGAAAACTAAGAGAAAATAAGTGTCCAAAACATTAGAATCAAAGTTCAATTGCAGTAAACTCTTACTATAGCAACTGCAGCATGAGTGATGTGAATAACATCAAGAACTGAAACAATGTTCCTATCTGTTAAATATCCATTCACCAAAAAATTAAAAAAAAAACTCGAAATAAAAATCCTGTAATAAAATTGAAAAGTAAAATAATAGAAGGCAAGCTAGTCGCTGGTCTCTGAATGTGATTACTTCTATCAACAATAGATTCATTAATAGTGACGATTTGATACCTCAAAAATTGCTGATGTATAGCAGACAAAAGCTAATATAAATTGAAACTTACATAAAGGAGAAATGGAAAGAACAAGCCATCTAATAGTAGTTGAGCTAGGCAAGCAGCAACGGAATAAGAATCTGTGCCTTGGTGATGTCCATGGAAAGCATGGGGGAGCTAGAATGGATACCCAGAAAACCTTGCTCTAGTGAACTAGCTCTCTTAGCTTGTTCTTCCAACTGCAGTTGTTCTGCTAAAGCTAATAAGAATAACGAATAACAGAATGTTCTATACTTTCTATACTTTGAAGAAAAAAATTGTTAAATTTGAATCAAGGCCCAAAAAGGAACTACCGTTCGCAAAAGAAAGTAAGAAAATTAAAAAAAGTACCCTTTCTCTTTTGGGTTTGTGGATTGAGGCAAGCACGGATAATTACGTGCAAGATTCCACACCATCACATTAGTAATGCTGCTTGGAGAAGAAGACGCTGCTAGCGGTCCGAGCTTAGGTTAAAAATGTTAAAAAAGCTGTGTTGGGACTTCCGTTATACCTTCCTCTGCACGAAGAACCAGGAACAGTGCTACGGTCGAAGAAGGAAGAAGCGGGTTGTGCAGCTTCGAAGGAGAGGATGGAAGAGGAAGGAGTTCGATGGACAGGGCTTCTTTCGACGGGAAGATATGGGAAGAAGAATGAACGAGAGAAGACGACCAACGAATAAATGCAAGAGAAGAGGCGGGGAAGGAGCAGAGCTTCAAGTCACTTAACAACCCGAACGACGATCAATCGATCGAAGGGGCAACTGGGTGAAAAAGGAATCGCGGAACGAGGAACGAGGGCCGCGGGCTCGATCTCGCGGTCCACTTTTTTGGGAAACCTCACCTGCGGTGGCCGCGAAGTTTCTCTGCCGCGCCCCCAAACAACAGTTTTCGGCAATGGGGGTGCCGCCAGGCGCTTAAACCGCGCCCCAAACAAAGCCTAAATAGCTTTGACAACGGTATGATTTTAAAAAAAAAGCTTTTATCAATAAATTATTCAATAAGTTACAACTGCACAGAAAAAAAATGTGCATTTACGTACGTACCACTAGATTCTTATGTATTTACATATCTAACATTTAAACTTTTATTATTACATTTATACCAACCAAATCTTTCATGTTAGAAACTCCATCTCAAAAACTTATTCCTATGGCCCAAGTTTAAGTGTCCCTGATAACTTTAAGAAGATGATTTATTATTATTATCCATTCCTCTTCAATTATTAACTTACATAGAAAATGCCTCATAAAATAGCACTGTCATAGTTTATCATCCTTCCACAATAAGATCAACTCTTCTTTATATGATGAAGTATTAAGTTTAAGATGTTCGAGCTTGATCACTCCAAGAGTTTGACCAAACCCATTAAGCATCTAACTAGCTTCAATAATGTCATGTCTCGAACATTAGCAATAGAGGACTTGTGCTAGTAGATTTTCACAATAAACTTAAATGTTGCAAAGTAGAGTGTCGTATGCACCTTCCATTATATATCATTGGTTCTTTTGAAAAGTTGAGTAAGAAAAGTTTTGTAATCACTTTAAAGTAGCTTTTTAAGTTTATTGGGACATGTCAAGGCATCTAATAATGCGAGCCAAAGTTTTTTGGTGACTATATGGCCCGTTTTACCAATGTCATATAAGAAGTTACTACTAGTTAAACTTCACAAGCTTAGAGTGGGCAATGAGTCATTTTGACCTGCCTTTGTTTTCTCGGTTTTTTTTCAAGCACTCGGAGTCGTCAGCTTTTCTATTTATATGTCATCATATAATTTTCTTATTTGAATAAATTTTTTTCCCAAACTATACAAATGATTAGAAGAGGAGATTTTGTTCTCTCTATTGCTCGGAGGAACGATTCTCCGCCTCTTGCAAAATAGACTAGCTACAAAGTTTTTTTCGTTTTGCAAGTACGATGTTTCGATCCCTCCACAGAAGATCTAATAACGCTACAACCATGGGAAATTAGGATTCTGACCCTCTAGGATTTTGATTAAAGGCTTACAACGAGAAGTCACTCAAGTTCGCAATGGATTTGGCTACGTAAGTACCTCCTAATCTAGGGCTCTCTCTAGAAAATCATCAGCCAATCAAAGGAGTATGGTCATGTTGACTGGTGTCGGTCGGACAACTCGCTTAGCATGGGCAATCGAACCCACGACATTCTACCTAAAATTAGTCTTAGGGCCAGTTAGGAAAGAAAATGCAATGGTCGAGGAGATTATACCGTCGCGGTGGTTGATAGCTGTCCCAAGCTTCTATCCCGGATGAAGCTCTCCTAACAGTAGGAGAGAAGCCCGCTCAAGTCCTTCTCCAAAGTACGAAGAAGCACACCTCAATGAGGAGATTTTGATAATGTCTCGAGCTCCGACGAAGATCCTTCTCCCAAAGACGAGGAAGCTCACCTAGAGAAAAAGACTTTGGCGAGGCAACACATAAGAATTTTCTCTCTTCCTCTGTATTTTCCGGCGAAATGATGATTGGAAGGGAAAACATATAGGAAGAAGAAGAATAAAATGAAAGAGAAGAAGTGAAAGAGGAATTTAGGAGAAGAAACAAGAATAAGACCTCTCAAATCTCTCAAGAATCTCTCCAAAAATCCATTAAAATCTCCCTTACAACTCTCTCAGACCAAACTTGCAAAAATTGACTTTTTCTGCTTAACCATCCCCCCTTAGCATTGCTCATGGGATTGACGCTACTTACCTCAAATGGTAATGCCTTAGCCTTCACCTCCTCCCATTTTTGGGTTGAGAACCGGGCAATGGGGTGAAATGGAGGTTTATTCAGCGAAGTGCAGGCGGAGAAAAACCGTCTGTAGGGTTAAAAACAATGTGTTTTGAATGTTGGGCGCTCAAACGTCGAAGCAGACACAAAAGCGGAGATCGTTTAGTGTACGAGACTTTCTTATCAGACACAAATGCTCCTACAGTGGCGTAGAACTTGAGCCAGTTTGGGTTGGCAAAGGAACTCATGCAAAAAGTTGGGGGTTGGAGTGCCCAACAATGTCGCCCAAGCTCCCATAAGCAAAAACCCGCTAAAAGAACAAAGCCGGAGAGGTGGGCGCAAAAGTGTCTGAGGAAGCAATGGAACCTTCCTTATGGGCGCCAATTTGAACTATGGGCGTTTTGGTGCCCATTTTGGGCGCTTTTGCGCCCAAGCCACAAGGGGGCTTAAGTTTTTTCGCTTCCTGCATGCGCGCAACTTTGCACGGATGGCATTTTATGGGTTCTAAGACTATTAGAGACTATTTAGGAGTGAAAAAGAGCTCTCCAACATTTATATGAACATCAAGGGTGTGCCTTATCGAGCGAAAATTGTCGTCTAAGGGTCGGATATGGCCCCTGGGACAAAATCTCAGTTTTACGCCGCGATGTCGTATGAAGGATTTGACCGATCTGGAAGTTATGGAAAGTTGTGTATCACTAAATTACGACCATGTAACTCAAAAATGAACCTCCCAGAGATTTTTAAATTACGACCACGTAACTCAAAAATGAATCTTCCTGAGATTTCAAACTGGGGAGTTTAGTGTCGAAAGACATCCCTGATCTCTACACGTGTGGGTCAGTCAGAGCCCCAGTTTTTTTGAAACGTGCCCGGAATAGTTTTGACACTACCCTTGAGCATAGGATATTCAGAATTGTTGAGAAAGTGGAGCCTTGTCCACTGCGACTTAGGCAAGTTATTAAACCAAAAATTAAGTTTAATAACTTTCCTTAATCTTTGTTGCACGCCTAATCTCCCGCTTCTTTCCTTCTCCGTTAAACTGTGTGACCGCGTGAAGATCTCCGCAAATATTCTCCCGCGCTCCTCCACGCGATCCCGCGTCACGATACCTGCCTTATGGGTCAAACGGAAAGCTTTTTAAAAAGGCTTCGGTTGGCAGGAGGAATAGGAAGCTGCTCTCCTTCTTTTGGCGGAAGTGTGAAGAAGAAAAGCTAATTACTTTTTCCTTTTCCCAAGGCAGAAAAGCTAATTACCTTTTTCTTCCTTCATCAGGTGGCAAGAAAACAAAAGTCTGTTTTTTTCCTTCTCTTTTTTTTCACGTGGGCTGGGAAGGGAGAGGGGAAAGAAGAAAAGAGGGAGAGAGAAATTTAGAGAGAGATAACTCTTTTGAGGAATTTAGAGAGAGATAATTCTTTTATTTAAATATTAAAGGAGAAGACGACGGTGTAATTCCTTGAAGCTAATAAAATCCTCTGCAGCTCCGTGGACGTAGGCAAATTTGCCGAACCACGTAAATCTGGTGT